CTCATTTCAAGAGCTTTTCCTATTGCATACTTTTGTCACCAGGTGGAGTTTTCTCACATACCCGCAAAATAGTTTTCTGAAAAAATAGCGGAAAAAGCAAAAATTTAACAAAACAAGTTTAAAAATATTACTTATGTCTACTTGATTGGTTGGTCTACTGAGTTATATATCACTAATTTAATTATAGTGGATTCAACCATATAACGTTAATAATAATTACTCAGACTAGACGGGCATGAACAGGGTGGACCAAATCCGACACTTTCAAAGAACTTTTTGGAAGATTGAAATGCTAATAGTCAGTTATCAAAACATTTATTTTTTATATTTGACGTTTTGTACATTTTCAATCTCAAGTTATCCGCACTCGGAACAAATAAAGAATATAATACCGGTGTGGTTTTATAAGAGGAAAATCGATGGTTTAAAACGAACCATAGAAAAAACATATGAAGACCACCTAAATTGAGAGGATCTTCATAGATATCCTTCAGACATTGGACTCAATTAGTAGAGAATTGAGTACTTGATATCTGGTATAGGAGAAAGAGATGCTGGAAATGAAGAAAAAATATAACTTAAAAAAAAAAGAATAAGATTTTATGAAAACCCTCAAAGGTTGTGGAGATCAAGATGGTTTAAGCAAGTTGAGGAGGACTTCAAACATTGCGCCATTTTCTATACGGTGAGTTTGAAAATAACTACGTTACAGTAAGACAGCAGAGCAAATCCCTTGGAGCCACTATCTAATCTGGTTATTAAAGTAAAACTAAATCCTATGGTGAAGTTCTAGTCAAAAACATGGCAATTCAGATTGATACTTCCGCTGCTAACGCTGCTCGATACCAAACGCTAATTGTGTTTAAATTGGTTTGCCGGAATCAATGCGGTGTGTGGAAGGGGAGTTTCGATGTTTCGTTTTTGTTAACTTTTCGTTTGCGAGAACGCTGAAAGAAATTCAAAAACGCACACCGATCCACCACTTTTATTTGTCGTTGAAACATTTGACATTTTACGTTAAAATTAAATTAAATTAAAACTAATTACACTTTTAAAATTGTATTCGATTTTTATTTATATTATTTTAGCGCAGTTTTTTCTATTTTTTGTGTATCACGAAAATGTAGGGAACCAAGAAGTATTGAACTGAGGTGGCTTTTCCTTGATGAAAATCCATTTAACCCAATTAAATCAGAACAAAAAATGTTCACACTTTCACAGTTATTTATTGGTTTATTGCAGCTGTGCCTTTATCAAATAGTAAATATACATATACGTCAACGTATCTTTTTTTAATAATATAATAGAGTAATTAATGGATTTAAATACTAAAACCTACACGCCAAGCCTTTTCAAAAAACAAATAAATGCAAAGAAATTCCGCAGAATTCCAAGGAAGTCCGAAAAATTTCAAAGAATTCCGAAGAATTTCAGAGCAAGTTCCAAGGAATTTGAAAGGCATTGCAACGAATCACGAAGGACTTCAAGGAGTAACGAAGAATTTAAAGTAATTACGAAGAGTTTCAGTGAAATTACAAAGAATTTCAAAGGAGTTTACCAAAAATTGCAACGAAGGAAAGTCAAAGGAAATGAGTGATTCCAAATAATTACGAAGAACAGCAAGGAATTGCGAAAAATTTCAGTGGAAATCGAATGAATTTCAAAGGAATTTTCAGGGATTCCAAGGAATAACGAATAATTTCTGGAAATTACGAATGATTTCAAAAAATTCCGAAGAATTACAAGGTATTTCAAGGAAATTCCGAACAATTCCAAGGAATTACGAAAAAATTCATCTAGTTACAACGAATTCAACGAATTCCGAAAATTTTTAAGGAATCCCAAAGAATTAAAAAAAAATGAAGAAATTCCTGAAAAATTCAGTGGAATTCTAAGGAAATTGAAAAGAGTTTTCAGGGATTCCAAATAATCACGAAAAAATTAAAGGAATTTCAATGAATTGCGAACATTTTCAATGGAATTCTAAGGAATTTCAAAGTATATTCGAGGAATTACGAAGGGTTTCGAGGAATTTCAGTGGAATTCCAAGGAATTTCAAAGGATACACGAGGAATTCCAACAATTTCAGTGGAAATCGAATGAATTTTAAAGGAATTTCGAGGGATTCCAAGTAATTACGAAAAATTCTAAGGAATATTAAAGTAAATCCGATGAATTACGAAGAGTTTCGAGGAATTCCGTAGAATTTCAGGGGAATAAATATTATAAGTATAAAAGGAATTACGGTGTACACTTTGGTCGGCGGTTTACCCCTCAAACGACCCTTACTTTGGGAGCGCGTCTTACCTCGACGATGGAAAAAAAATCCAATAAGACACGCGGAAGCGATTTTCACTTTTCACGCGGACCAACGAAAACACGGTTAAAAATAAAGCACCGACTGTCGATCATACGACGTTAGATTTGTCAATCGCACGGTAAGAACGGTGCACCGTTTCTGGTAAGTGGGGTGACCGAGAAGTCGGGTTCAAAGTGGGCCATCGGATTACCTTGGTGGAAGAGGTAAGGTCAATGTCTCGGTCTCGGTTCCTCGATGGTGCATGCGTTTACCGTTAAAAAGGAAACGGCAATTAAAGAAACCGAACTTTGGACTGTCGTTTTCTTGATACTAGGTTGACCAAGTCGCGCTTCCTAGAATCGGACCTGCGAGAAACTGAATATCAATAATAATAATAATAATAATAATAATAATAATAATAATAATAATAATCATAATAATAATAATAACTACATGGAGCCACTGCTGCACTCAAACCGACTGTTCCAGTGCGCCTAGCAAAGGATTAAAATAATAATAATAATAGGTTAAAAATAGGTTAAATAATAATAATAATGTGAAAATTCCAGTTGCAAAGGCTAACTAAGTTTGTTACTATCACTACTTCACGAACACGTTTCACTTGTTAACCCGTAGCTACGCATATAAAAAATAAAAGGTCAGCACTCTTGACAAATAAATAAATATATATATATATATATATATATATATATATATATATATATATATATATATATATATATATATATATATATATATATATATATATATATATATATATATATATATATCAGGACCGATACCCCAATTAACTTAAATTTGTTATATATATATATATATATATATATATATATATATATATATATATATATATATATATATATATATATATATATATATATATATATTTTACGTATTGATTCACGGATGGAAAAATGTGATGACACTATATTCCGGGATATCATCCGTTCGCTCGTTGAACTCCGACTGGAATCCTGCAGACGTTTCGCCAAAATCTCACTTGGCATCTTCAATGCTCGCGCTCCGAAAACACTTCGAACACTGTTTTTTTTTAATTAAAAATAAGATTGCGTTTTTTACTATACTGAGGAAAATCCAAACTAAGAATAGCTTCGACGTTATCATAACTCATTAAGTTAAATGTGTGTAGTAACTGGATGTCATCAGCATATGAATGAATTTGAGAAAATTCGGCCTCCTTAGGCATATCCAATGTATACAAGATATAAGACAGAGGTCCAAGAATTGAACCCCGTAGCACTCCCACTTAAGATATAATCTTACAAAAATCTGATGTACCGATATTAGTCCTAATGAACTGCTGCCTATTATTTAAAAGATACAGATCGATCGGAATCCTTGTTTAGCACACAATAACGCACGAACATTTTTATCCAAACTTTTTATTGTTGGATTCTGACTAGTTGTATACAAAGCTACTTGCTGATGAACAACCTTCTCCAACACCTTGCTAAGCTAGGCTGATTAGTCTAAATATGGCTGTTTTCCATATGAATGGAAAGTACCAAGTCTCTAAACAATCTGCTTTATGATCTTGCTAATATCTTCTTGAGAAGGTAGCGCAAAATGAAAAATGGAGATACTTATCCTATTGGATTTAAAAAATTCAATCAGTGTCCGCGCTGGAAGAAGAAAGTAAAATTATGGAGGTTAACTTTATTCAGATGTTTTGTAATTTTTTTTCTTATACCACAGACCTATTTGGAAATTTCAAATCCAAAACATCATTACAAAACAATTGACAAATAAATGATTTTCAAAATTTCCCAAAAGACAATGTGCCTTTCATCAGTAAACATATGTTTAGAAATAGAAAAACTTCGCTTAACATCTACATATCATGTTCATTTACTCAAGTAAATATTTTTTACTTGATTAATTGAACCATTTATGAATGGAAACTGGTCTCTTGTCCGTTTTCCACTTATTTAAAAAATATATGTCGTATACTGAATAATAAATTTACAACTTTTGCGTTAGATAATGGACTTTACTCTATCGTTGACTCACCCTGTATATACTTGCAAAACTTTTCTCGAAAATTATGATTCTAAAATTAAAATAAAGAAAAATAAAATCAAATACTCAAATAAACAACCGATGTCACATTACTGTCGTTCGACGCTGTCATTGCAATTTATCTTAAAGTCGCGACATAACCTTTAAGTTGTCCACCCTGTTTAATGATCCCCGACGTTGCGAATTACGTTTTACTAAAGCGTCAAGGAGCGAAACATAGGCGTCAACTTAGGAACCGCGTAAAATCAAAAATTCGATGCCCGCAATTAAATTAGGCCGGCGATAAATACCCTTCGCGCTTTTGCCCACCCAATTGCGACAGACTCCCACGCAACTTTACCCGTTCATTATTTTAAGTAACTTATTATTAGATCATCGACGTAAGGAAATCCCTGAATATATTTTCGGAAAAACGTTGTTTTCGTTAGACTTCCTAGCCAACTATTTGCCCTTCCGCGTTTTAAAACGGCAGCGGACGCACTCATCGCGAGGGCCCTGATTTCTAGGTTAGGAATTTTTCTCGAAAATTTTTTGGAAATCGCCGCCGACTTTCGTTCGAACCGCTTTCAAACCAAACGCTCGCACCTCTCAAAATCCCCACCAAAAACGTCCAAAACATATTCTACAACTGATAACTTACCTAACCGATTAGTATTTGGCCGGTCTGCCAAACGGATGTTTGTTACTTGGAAAACGAACACCAAAATCATAAGTGGCGTGATAAAAAGGGCCCCGCGCACGCACCAACCAAAACCACCGCAGTCTTTAAACTCGAAAATAAAGCCCCAAAACAGGGTTGTTTAATAGTTTCTTGAAAAAATCAATATAATATAGAAGGCTTTGAAATTTGGGCGAGTTTCCAGGGTCGACTGCGACGGCAGACGTCGCTTGACCTAGCGGCGCGTCGCGCCTGGCAATCGCACACAGACGACAGGAATCTGTTTCTGACATTGCATTCGGCAATAGATGGCGCAGAATATCCGCGGTCGATATCGGAGGAATTACCGATTGTCACTTGTCACCTTTTGGGAAGCAAAATGGCATCCATTCTAAAATTGTCCCAGTCTTTAACAAAATTGTCCAGAAATCCCAATGTGGGCAAGGTAATGGCGTGAAACGTGTAGTTAAATTTCGTAATGAAAATTATAATGTGCCCACGATAACGTTTTTTTAGAATTTACTTAAAATGTTACGTAATCCAGCGAGTAGCTCTGGAATGTTTATTCATTTTAGGTCGTGAAAAATGTCAGAAAAGCATCCAGCGCAACCGCTGAGCAACAGGAAATTACTTTAAATGTGCCGCCGACTAAAGTAACCACTTTAAAAAATGGTAATTATAGCTAAGGGTTTTATATAACCAAAAATTATGTAAATGTCTCGCGTTCCTCATGGTGTTAAAGGCATAAGAGTTGCTACGGAAGATTGGGGCTCTCAAACTGCGACGGTGGGCATCTGGATCGATGCCGGCAGTCGTTACGAGAATGCGAAAAATAACGGTGTCGCTCATTTCATGGAGCATATGGCTTTCAAGGTAAGTTTCGAAAATTCTTCTCAGATTCGAAATTTCATCTCAACGTCAGGGTACAGACAAGCGAACCCAAAGTCAAATAGAAATCGAAATCGAAGATATGGGAGCCCAACTGAACGCCTACACCAGCAGAGAACAAACCGTTTACTATTCAAAGTGTCTGGCCAAAGATGTACCGAAAGCGATTGAAATTTTGGGAGATATCGTCCAAAACGCCAAGCTAGGCGAAGCTGAGATTGAACGCGAACGGGGTGTTATTTTAAGGGAAATGCAGGAGGTCGAATCTAACCTCCAAGAGGTCGTGTTCGATCATTTGCATGCGGTGGCGTACCAGGGCACTCCCTTGGCCAATACAATATTGGGCCCCACCGCTAATATTAGGTCCATCAATGCTAAAGATTTGCGCAACTATTTGGATAATCACTATAAAGCGAGTCGCATCGTAGTGGCCGGTGCGGGTGGCGTCGCCCACGAAGACTTGGTTAAGCTCGTAGAGACTAATTTAAACAAATTAAGTGCGTTTGATGAAGATCACCTTTGGATTTGGTTTAAGGAATTAACTTTTCAGACAATAATTATACCGAAGATATTCCCGTATTATCTCCTTGTCGGTTTACTGGAGCCGAAATCAGAGTAAGGGACGACTCTCTTCCTTTGGCCCACATTGCTTTGGCCGTGGAAGGAGCCGGGTGGACTGATCCAGACACCTTGACCTTGATGGTTGCGTCCACTCTATTAGGGGCTTGGGACAGGTCCCAAGCCTCCGCCAAACAAAACGCCACCAATTTGGCCCGGGTTAGCGGTGAGAGTGACTTGTGCCACTCTTTTCAAAGCTTCAATACCTGTTACAAGGTTAGTAACTGTACTGGACACTTAAGTAAAACATCTATGTTTAAAATTAATTTTAATGAATTACAAAAAACACGAGATACATGACCAAATACAATAAACAAAATATCATGATTTGACGTCATTACTTATATTTTTTGACAAATTTAATAATTATGCTATTCCCAAAAGTTACTTTTTAATATTTTGAATAGGACTAGAGTTTATTAGCTCATAATTTTGTCTGTCTAAATGTGTATCTGCATTTGCATTTAAATTTTTTTAAATATTTTATCTATATATTATAATATTAATAAGTAAAGCCTGTTAACTGTATATCATCTTTTTACAGAATCAAGCAACGCGTTTTTGGAAGTATATAATAATATTAATACCAAAAATTCAGTAATGCACTTATAGTGGGCAAATACAGCCCCTTACTTTGGTTGGCCCTACTTACTAAAACTTACAACTACTTACTTTTCTTTGTGAGTTGCACCTCGCTGATTATACACAATATATTAATATTTTTTATAAATTTACAAATTGAAAAGAAGATAGATATTTCGAATTTTATTTCTAAATTTCAGTTATTGCATTGTAACACTTCTGTTTTCTTTAACTTTTTTTAAGCTCTTTAGTGTCGACATTGAGATTCACATATCTCTTTTGTCAAATACTCAATAGGTGTCGCTGCAAAATAATACCTTTATTATAAATGTTCAATTGATTTTATATATACTCATTTTATAATTCACTATATTGATACCCTGTAGAATTCACCACAATTGCTTGTTTAATACTCGGTGGTCTATCTGCATCTTGTTTTGTTACTTCAATGATTTTAAGAATATTCTTCGGAAAGGATGAACTGTAGAGACCCCCCCAGCCTATGACTATATACACAGCAAAACTATGGAAAACACTATAACAAATTTGCCTTAACTGCTTTCTTGTTGGTATTTGAATCTATAAAAAACATTTTACATTATAGTCATAAGATAGTCGTAGATACTTGCTACCAGTAATTTTTTCAGACTCACACCATTTATCTTGATTCCAAAATCCTGTGGAACAGAGTCTCTATAGTTTCCAAAAGAGATAAAAACGGACTTGGTCTGTGTTGAGTACTAGTTTATTTGGTAGAGCCAGGAGTAAACCTAGTGACACAAGAAAGTGGGAACACTCTAACCTTTTTAAGTGTTAATAGAGGCCGAGTGTCCAATTTTTGTTTGAGCAGAAACGACAGTAAGTTTCGAATTTTAAATGGCACAACGTATATTTTTTGCATTTTTTGGATTCAGGAGATCATTCTACGTAGGATAGGATGGTTCTCACTTTTTTTAAACTTTTATTTAATTTTGAAAATTGTGCCTAGGAGGATATGACCATCATAAATACTATGGACCGGGTGACCTGATCATACGAAAAATTGTAAATGAAACTGTTCTCTACTTGCCTATTGGTAAATAACATTTAATGTAATAAACTATTATTTTTTTAGGATAAACTGGTTTTTTCAAATATTACCCTAGTGGGAACAAAAACTTTTTAAAACCGATACTTTTTTTACAACATTCTGAGGCCAAAATTTTCAAAATCCGTTAAAAAATAAGCTCGCAGGAAGGAAAAAACCAGATAAGTAAATACATTTTTATAAAAACAAAATATTACTTAGGTGGCTTTGCTTCTATTCATTGTGAAGTGGGCATGATTGAAAATTCTGACAGTTTGTACATTTTTATCTGATTAGTTGATATTGTATCCAGCCCACTATGCGGGATGTCGCCTTCCTGCACATTCTTTTTTTAGAAAGCTAGAAACCGGAAGTGCAACCGTTGACTACATACTGTTAAAAAAATGGACATTCAGCCTATATTAACTCTTCCAAATGTCAAATCGCATCTCAAGTCGTTTAAAAGTTACAGAGTGTTCCCACTTTCTTCTGTCACCTTAAACCAATAAATCATAAAACGGCCAATATTGGTCCAAGTATTGAGCCCTGAGGCACTCCAACATTTGTTTTAACTTTCTCACTTTTAATACCATTTATCCTTACAACTTGGCGTCTATCTTACAGATAACTTGCTATGAAGGTCAAACTTACACCCCTTATTCTCATATTCTGCAATTTGGACACTAGTATAATGTGATCAACTGTATCAAAAGCGTTTATGTAGTTTGTAGGCTGTCTTCAGTTTTCATGGATAAATTTACTAAGTAAAGCAAAAATTATGATAATCTGATAAACTTTTCATTTGTTGGTGCTGGAAACATTGTATTGGAATTATATGGAATATGGGGATTTCATGGTGTCTTATTGGACAAGTCACTCTTCAGTTTAGACAGCACTGTGCTAAAAAAAATCTTCCCACGTCAACTGAAAACTGTTATCCATAATTTTTAATTGTTATATAATTAATATTATTATTAGGACACCGCTTTGTGGGGCATCTATTTTATTTCGGATCCGTTGACGATCGAAGACATGGTCTACAACATTCAGTCCGAGTTTATGAGGTTATGTACGAGCGTCACCGAGGGCGAGGTGGAACGCGCCAAAGCCCTGCTAACTGCTAATACGTTGTTGCAACTGGACACGTCTACCGCCGTCTGTGAGGATATCGGTAAGGTTTTTCTTCAAGGAAAAAGGAACCGAACCTTATTCTCCGCAATTGATAGGACGTCAGCTGTTATGTTACGGTAGGCGATTGCCTCCCCACGAATTTATACACCGCATCAACAGCATCACCGCCCGAAACGTAAGGGACGTATGCTACAAGTATATATATGACAGGTAGGGTCTGATCATTTTGTATTTCCTCAAAAGTATTTATTCGGACTTCTATTTTTTTTATTTTAAATTATAATCTCAATGTTACAGTTGGAATGTATCCCCAATGATAACATTTTTAAAACTACTACCTTAAAAGACAAAAACCACATCGGCAACTGTTAGTGATGTGCCCCCGGCACACCTTAAACCTGGGATAAATTTCATGGGATGACAACTTCTCTGACATTTTCTTGTGAAAAAAATTGGTAGTGGAAAGGTGGTTCTCACATTGTCTGAAAGCTCTTATTATTGCGTTCAATTATCAAATCAGTGTCTTCGAAAATATGTCGCAGATGTCAAAGCCTCCAATCAAGGAAAACCCTAAAGTATGATTACACGGATTGTTACTAACCTCTTCACTTTTAACGACAGTTCAGCTTGTATGGGCGGGATACTTGGGCTCGGTCCATGTGAAATGAGTCCGCACAACTTGTGTAACATTGTAATCCCGATTTCGGATATTTATTCAGAGTTGATAAAAGGCAGGGACCAGATAACTGACAAAAACTGTTGCTTTATCTAATCAAGACCTCTGCAAGTCATCTTTAACAAATCACTTCAGGGAAGTCAAGTTTTGCGGTACCAATTTATAAGTCTGGTGATTAAGCATGGTCCAACTGCCGCCCTATAAGCGTACTCATTGCCATTCCAACAGTATCTGAAAACTCCAATCACAAAATTTTTAACTTTTCTTGACTATTGCGCTGTATAGAAAGTTATATAACTGAAACGTCCCAGATGGTGCATTTGAACTACTTTATTGATGACCATAACTAAAGTTAAAATATGAAGCTAGGAATATTGTTTGTAACAGTTCTTATAATAACAAATGATTATAACATTATTCGAGTTGTTGACTTTTTAAAGTTTGTTCAACGTGTATGACCCTTTTTTTTGCGCTCCGTCTCTAACTTAAGTAGGTATGTAAGTAGTCATGTTTTCAATTTACCAATTCCCTTTGTCCATTTTGCCAATCTTCTTGGTCTTACTAATCCCGTCATATTTCCATCGTGTTGTGTTGCTTCTTTTTTTCCCAGTTTCCTGATACTTCGTCGGCCATTGTGTCTATTGCTTGTATACAAGCTACATACACTCACTACAACTAATAGGACTGTGGAACACACCACTTTCCTCACGTTTTCTTTTGAGCTTCCAGTTTTGGGCATTAATCTATTGAGTGTTCCTATTTTACCGTGCCCGTCTTTTGTATTATCTTTGTGATTCGACTTCCCATGGTCATATTTCTGTCTAAATAATTTATAATAGAGGCAATTGGAGTCCAAACAAATAATTTAACAACTTCCATTTTACATTTCCTTGAGGTACAACGTGACGATTTTTCTCGTAGATGCCCAGCGATCGCTGCCGTAGGACCGGTGGAACAACTGCCCGATTACAACAGGATCCGTTCTTCGATGTACTGGCTGCGCGTCTAATTTAAATAATTTAAATAATTTTTGTTTATAATTATTACACCTTAACTTGTCATCACTCCTAGCTGAAGTCACTTTTGGATTCATTAAACGAAGTGTCAAAAATAAATGATAAGTCTGTAAATAGCTGTATGTTGATTTTTCTGAATAAAACTTTTAATAGAATAAAATTTTCGTTGGAAAAAGCAAAATGTTAAGGAAATAAAGTGAAAAAACAATTATAAAGTGACAAAAATACTATTAAAACCTGACTACAAAATTTTAATTGTAAATTGATAAATAAAAGGCAATGTTTATATACAGGGCAGTCCAAATTATACTAAAGAAACTTCACCGTAAGGTTATGTCCAAAAATTCGTTATAGATTTGAAGGAATAAGGAAAAATTGACGGCATGGATCAACACTTATTTCTCTTCAACCAGTGGCGTTCGTGAGACCGTTTTAATTAATTCGAGTCATAAAAAAATGGTTTATAGTACTCTTGTTAATAAATTCAGATATCCTGATCAAACCTCAACAAAAATGGTGTCTTTGAGAAAAATACAATTTGTATACACAATCTTATACAAAGTCGGCTTAATTTTTAATGCCAGATCGAAAAAAAATACATTTTACGTTTTTTACCGTTTAATTTTTGTACTACATTTTCCAAAACTAAATAATTAAGTATCCCTTATGAGAAAAATTTTGTTAATTATTCAAAACTGTCTACCATTTTCTGGGGAACCCAAAATAATCCAATAATATTCAGGATGTTCAGTTTGCAATTAAAAAAAAATTAAAAATCCTATCGTTCGTGACATAAGGGGGTAGGTAACATTAATTGGAACACCCTGTACATTATTCAAGTACTACAGCTTATTTTGTATATATTTTCCACATTCCTTCTTAAAGCTTTAAAAGAGGTTATTTTAATGTAAACCACTACTACTTATTTTATATAAATAACTATATTAATATAATAAATAATAATAAAATACCATTAAACTTCCTCATCAATATGCTAATTGGTTTAAAAACTTTTCCAAAACATTACCCAACATATTTTTATTAATTTGCCTTATTTCTGTGGTTTTTCCTTAAATACTTTCAATTTTAAATATCCACAGAGCAAAAATCCACTGCATTAATATCTGGTGATATTGCAGGCCATCTATCTTGCATCTTTTCTTACCAATGTAAAATTTTGAATTTGGGAAAGAAACTAGTAGAGAAGAGAAGTCAGTTTAAAGAAATTGTAAATATTTGGGGTCCAGTTAGATTGGGAGGTCCAATAATTTTTAATACTTGCAAAGCTTTTGATTGGCTAACATATACGTTACCTCAAAAGATACATGATTAGGTTCATCCTCAACTATTAATAAAATGTATAGCCTTGGGTTCTCATTAGTTTTTGGACCACTTAACGGTAGACGATGTTTTACAGGCCCTGTTTCCTGTTTAATGCAAAAAATGGGCAAGAAAATGTTATGACGTAAAAACCTCATTTTAAAATAAATTTCTTCCATATTTTAGCTGTTCACTGAATTTATGTCAGTCTCTACAATTGCGGAAAAGTTTGTTGCCATTAGGCAAAACTTACTTTCTCATTTAATCTGATATCATGTAAAGCAAGATAGCCTTTTAATTCAAAACTAGTCTTCATTTGCCGAATCTGTACCTAAATATTGCGCATTGACGAAATCTACCACTTCTCGGTTTATATTTTGAACCGATTCCCTAAAAAAAAAGTCAAGATTTTTTCTGAAACATGCCCACATTAAGTTGTTTAAGTTTGAGGTTATGTTACAAAAGTTTTATCGCACCTCTAGTATAGTATATCTTTAAAAATATCGTTGTAATCTGAGTAGTCAATACTGCCTACTCATCCTCCTAACTTTCACACGCTTCTTAAGAAAAAGTTCAAATAAGCCAAAATTTTTTTATCAATCGAATTTTACCGATCTAACGAATCGCGCACACGCTTTCCTAACCAAACCTAACCAAAACGCTGTTTATGTTTCCAACGAATCTCATTCTCTGACAACCGCTTAATTAGAATCGAACAAATCGAAAATTAACCAAAGTTTTGAATAACTTTCGTGGCGTGCCCCAACAAAAACCGTTTAAAAACACGGCGGTTGAGCGCGAGACAAAACCCGAACGAATACAAAGCGAGACGGGGAGATTGTTTAGCCGAAAACGTCGTCCCGTGATTGGTCGATTTCGTTTGGCGCGCTACGCGAGCGACACTGCGGAACGCCGTCAAACCAACCCGATCATAGCCAACTAGTGTGATCTTAAGGTAAGTCGTTTTTATTTGGTCTTCAATAATTTTTATAAAATTGTGGGAATTTTTCCCACGAGACACGCAGATATTATAAAATATTAGTTTTTTTGTGTGAATTTATCGTGTAGCTGTCGAGACGGTAGGTTTCGCGATTGCGGAGCAATTAATTTTCGAAGCGAATTGTATTCCACATATTTACCACCATGGCTGCCCGTATTTGTCACACGGCAACGAAGCCTGTTCGATTTTCACGTTTGAAAATTAATTTCTCTGCAACTACGGCATCTAAAATGTTCGTTTATGCACCGAAATAAAGCTGTTTTTTTTGGGAACGGTGTTCGTTTGTGATTCTTCAAAGCGGGCGTCTTAAAGGGTCGGAAAATATTTGGGTGTTGTCGACACATTTTAATATTGTATTATTTTGAGTATGGCGCGCGCGGCACTTTATTTTTCGAATGACGCCAAGTTTTGTTTCACCTTTTTCGTTACTTTAAAAATACGATACGCGAGTTTTATCGTCGGATCGGCCTGCGTGGCGTTTGTCGCTAATTTTCCCGACCTTAAAAAAAATGTTCGACGATTCGAATGAATAAAAATGGCGAAATTACAAAATCTAGTGGACGTTTTGGGCCCGTTAAAATTGAGACATTTTTGCGGCACGCGTTTTGCCGGAAATACGAAGGTCCGTTATTGATTTTCAATTTTGAGCGTCGGCTTTACCTACAACGTTAGGCTTTCTGCGGAAACTTTCGAAATTACACACAAGATGGCCGAAATTCTTGTAGTTTTATTTGGACCCGCTGCTGATGTTTTCTGTTGATTGTCGGCCGCGTTTATTGGTGTTGGGCGATTTTGCCAACGCGGGTCGCGACCACAAACGGCCGTCAAGATTAATTGCACCGATTTAAAATTAACCAGTTGTTTAATATTTTTCTTTTAGAGGTTATGAAACGCGTTGCGCTCACTTTTTTTTAATACGTTAAGATAGAGAAATTATACAATATGAATACAAAATACTTTTTTTATGTATCGTAACAAATAAAAATAAATATCTAAAAATTATAAACATTAACACAAGTAAAAATATTATATTTGTCATATCGTGGTACATATCAAGGTATATAACTTTTTATGTTTTATTTACTTGTTTTTACTTATTAAAGTAACAATATTTTAATTTTTTAAAACCCCATTTTTGTTCAAATGTGCCCCTGGCAAGGGGCAAATAATGCTTACGTTTTCAGTAATGTTTGGTTTTGTTTCCGTAAAGTAACCGACAAATTTTATTCTGTTTGACACTGACATTGATGTAAATTGGCAACTGCCGTTCGGTGGTATACCAGTATTAAAAAGGTATTGGAGGTTAGGAAAGGCAAATTATGCGTTCGTAAATCCAATAATTCAAAATTGCGCCCCTCACCACTATGCATGAATTCAAATTTTGGCAAGAAAAGAATAATAAATGCCTTAATTCTAATAAGTAATAATAAAACAAAATATTATTTACCTACCTGTATTCGTTTCTTGCTTCGGAACGGAAAATACATATTATGAAATTTTAAAAATAATCAATTAAAATCGAACAAATCAAAAATTGATGAACGCATTTCGTTCGTAAATTCCCTGTGATTTACTTAATCCGAACATCAAAATCAGGTACGTAGTTAAACTTTTTAGGCGCTAGGCTATGTTTTTATTCCGTGCTCTCTCGACGAAATAAATTATTTTTGCGTTAAGGCCGGAGGGTCTCTTTCTTTTTCTACCCTCTTAGCGGAGGGGTAACTACATGGAATTTTTGTGCAAGGTGACGAGATTAATATCTATTTTTGGTTTTTGCTGTAAACTATAATAATAGCGGTTTTCAGAATTTGATTAATAGTCCCTTTTTGCTTTACAATTCGTAGGTGGCCGTGATTGACAATCGGTTACAGTTTTATATATCCGTCATAATCTTGTGGTTCGTAAGCCATCGACAGGAAAAAGTGCTGCCACGATATAATCAGTCACCTCCCAGGAATGACCATAGTTTCATCAACAAGTGTTATTAAATGCTGTTATATTCATCTCGTTGTTTTTCTCTCGTCCCCAGTTTGCCTCCGTTAGTCACCTCGGTTGAAGCAACGCGAAGTTGGCTGTATCCTTTTTTCTAACTTCCACGGTTGTTATAAAATGGAAGGAATTAAAATTCCTAGTAGGGAAAATCCGAAGCAGCTTGGGCGACGCCGTACATTTATGCGCATCTTCTGTTATACAGGGTGTTCGGAAACTTGGAGGATAGATTCAGCGTGGTAAAATAATGATAGTAAGTAATGTAACAAAAATTCGACATCGTAGTATTTCCCGAGGTATAGCTTGTCAAAATTATTTTTTTTTAATCGTGTTTTTAACGCAGTGGGTCTAATTATCAACGGAATAAGCTGCTATTTTAGTAAAAATGTTTCGGAAATCTGTCGTTAGAGGGCGCTTTGCTTAAAACATTTTTTTTTCGTTTCCCTATATTTCATTTATTTAGACTGATATTGCAAAATAGAACAGATTGCCGTACGCAGAATCACAAAAGCCGAGAATAAAAAAGTCGATTTGTGGCTAAACGATAACACTAATCGACTTAAAAAAGAGTAACAATTTTTGTGGATTTTCGATTCTGCTTAAGGCAATCTGTTCTATTCTACGATATCAGTCTAAATAAATAAAAATGTTCTTGTTAAAGTGCCCTCTAATGACAGATTTTTGAAACACTAAATCAGGGCTGCGCGTAAAATACCAGCTTTCTTAAAAAAAAAAAGAATTTTGACTAGCCATAACTCGGAAAGTATTACATGATTTCGAATTTTTACTATTATTATTTTAGCACGTTGAACCGTTCGTCCAAGTTTCCGAACACCCCGTATATTTATGTTTACGAAACTAAAAGCTTTGTATTTTTCATTGCAGTCGATTTTCTCCAGCTTAGGTGCAGGAATAATCGATCAAAGATGTCGGACGACGCATCAGCTGCCCCGGCCAAGCGAGGCCGCAAAGCGGCCTCGGACAAGGCCCAAAAGGCAGACAAAGTAGAGAAGGCGGAGACGAAAAAGAGGGGGAAAAAAGAGGCGGCGAAGGAGGAAGAGGAGTCGCCGCCGGCGAAGAGAGGTCGCGGAAGACCGAAGGGCACCACCAAGAAGAAGGCGGCCGTAAAGGCCAAGGCGCCGGCCAAATCGAGCGGCCGTAGAGGTCGTCCGAAGAAGAAGCAAGAAGAAGAATCGAAAGATTCGGAAGAAGACGGCGAGAACGAGGTCGAGGACGACGAAGAGGACGAGTAAAACACTTTATAGGGACACGCCAACGGCGTTTTGTCTGTAGGAAGGATTTTTCTGGCGGTCGTCGCAGTTTCTTATTTAAAAAAAAGTGGACCGCATTGCGTTTTTGGGTGGATTTTTAGTGGAGCTCCTTTGTCCCCATTAGACCCCCGATAACTTTTCAGGGATTTTTGGTTTTCGATTTTTAGAAATTACGATGTATAAAAGTATAAATATAATTTTTGTAAGAAAGGGTCGGGTCTTTGGGGTCAGCAGTGTGTGCGACGTTTGCGTTCTTAATTAAAATATGGAAGCGTAATAATGTTAAGTCTCCTCTTGTAAGAAAATGATTTTCTTAATAAATTAGAATAAGAAATACGTGTTTTTTGTTAATAGGATTTGGGTGCGTTAAAAATGTGGCTTCGGATATTAGAATGAAAAGTTAAAGTTGCTTTGTACAGCTAAAAGTGTTTCTATTTCCTACGAAATGCCCTTTAAACGGTGGTTTCAAAAATATATAATACGCGGTTACTTTTGATATTCATAAACCAAAATTTGTGTTCATTTTTCGTTTGTTAAAATGATGTTATAGTGTATTTTAAAAAAATCATTTCTCGAAAACTGTTACGCGTCCCAAAAAATGCTAGAATTTAAAGACGCAGAAGATACGGTTCCATGAACTTTTATTCTGGACAGTTTTTCAAAAATATACAGAGTGCGCCGAAAATTTTGAAAAATGGATCCCTATTATTGAATATTGGCTGTACCTGATACGATTCATACAGCTAAAACTTTTGTATTTAAGGTTTTCATCTATTGTACAGGATGTCCAAATATATTCCGTGCTATATAAGAAATGTGTCAAGTGTCCTAAATTTACAGATATCAACTTCAAATTTAGCAGCGAAATAAAAGTCCGTGTCCACATTTAAACAGTAGAAAATTGAAATCTTTTTTTGGTTATTTTGGCATCCAGAAAAAAATTATTTCTTCAAAAACTATTTACCCGATTGACAAAATTCTTGAACGAACGCGGAATATCCGGTACTATAACTTTTACTTTAAGCATTTTTTCGATTATTTACACGGTTTTTCTATTTTAGACAAAGATATAAAAGACCCTGAAAATTGTTCTTTTTCAGAGTAAATTATTTTCCGTTAATCAAAATTTGCAGAATATATGAGTAATTGCTTTAAACGGTATTATAGGCCGCACTTTTTGTATTTACGATGGGAGATCCAGGGCTATAACTCCATTTCGCACATTGTTTGAATTATATACAGGGTGTGTCGTTTATGGGCAAACAAATTTAAAATATCCTAAAAATTTCCGTTTTTCTGGGCAAATTATTGGGGATAAATCAAAAACTGTTAAAGATGCGATAATTTGATTTCAACAGTATCGTAAACCGTGTCGAGAGAGATTTACAGCTTTGGTCTATCACACAGGGTGCGCGAGATACTAGAAAAAATATTGGAAATCGCTATTATTTGTAAAAAAAATAATATTCATCAAAGTTTCCCGTAACGTTGAAGTTCAGCGAGACGTGGAAGACGAAGAAGAAGAAGAAATTGCATCGATTTTGCGAAAGTTCCATAGTGGTCCGTAGGAGCAAGAAAAACAATGAGTCTCTCTACGACAAGAAACCAAAATACATCAGTAGCGGGCGTACGAAATTTCACCTGTTTGTTGGGGCAGACATAGGTGGCGTGTACGTAAACTCGTACATAGGATTGTACGTAGTAGGTAATGCTTTTTTTAAAAATAAGAATCGTATTTCATTTATCTTGTATTTCATTAAAACTGTAAAAGTAAAAGGGACAGTCTTCTAGTAGTTTTTTTTCTGATGGACACTAGTTGGTAGTTATAAACTAAATATTTTGCTTTAGATAGACATTTTATTTTTCACAAAAAAAGTTATCGGTTTAACCAGTGCAAACTTGTAGCAAGTGAAGAATAGTTTTTAATTTAGAAGTGTATTTTTAAAAAAATATTGTAAATAATGCCTGTTGATGCATAGTACATAGATGCAAAATCTCATTAAAATGTCTAAAGTGATATTACAAATATTTGAAAAAATATATTTTACTTTTGAAAAGTGGACTCAAAAATCGCCGCCTTAATTATTGACATTCGTATAACTGTATAACCAATAACAATATTTATATGATCGTAAAATGTACTTAAGGGTGGTTAACTACTTTATTTATTTATCGAAATATCATTAGCACTAAGCAAAAATTAATTATTCAAATTTTATAACGTAATGTATTGAAAGTTCCGTAATTTAGTGCCCAATTCGACAACAATGTAAAACAGATGGTATGGGCCTCCATATTTAAACACTTTTCCGTCAAAATTGGTTAATTGGGACGAGGAAACCGCTACATTAATAATTAAACAAACAATGGAAAGACTAATGAAAAAAAGACGACCCGTGGCCAACTAAGTGAAATTTTGTTTTTTAAATAATAAAAATAACCGTGTTGGGTTATGTATTTTTAAAATCCGCGTTTAAAGAGCTCTGACATGAGGGTATACATTCCATAAAATTTAACCTTCGATGATTTTATGTAATTTTCCAGAAACATAAATTATACGATATTACTTTTTTAGGTCATTAGATAGTCGAGCCCAACAAATCCTAACATTTTGTTGATTTCAACCCACACTGTATTCTCAGTGCGACTTGGACTATACTACCTCCAATTTAGATATTGTCCATCATTTATGAATCATCTGATGTTTTGATTCGCAATATCCTTTACGAGAGACTCATGTCAAAGACTTATTTTTCATAAATTCCAAGTTATTTCTTAGAATTTTCGATTTGTTTTTCAGAGCTTCCGACTTGTACTTCAAAAATTTGTGATATTACGCCACAACTCAATTTTTTGTAGGTGCGAAATAAGTTCTGCGAGAAAATCTACTATCCCTTCAGGGATTTTTTTTTTTGGTTGCAAACACTGACCATCTTATTTACATATTATTTTCTTCCGAGTGGTAAAGTTAATAGTTCCCAATTTAAAAAAAAAGACTTACATACTCATACAAAATTTTATTAAACTCAAAATATGTATAAAAAATAAATAATTATAAAAAAATCACAGATTCTGTCTTCTAAATAGTAACTAGAACGCTAGATTCCTTTCTTAATCGACCTCCTCGATTGTCGGTCCACCTTGCTGTCCACCGAATCCGCCTGCTTGTCTTCCACATCCACCGGGCATTTCACCTGAGGAGGGTCCAGGGCCAAAGTTCTGCTGGTTGCCGCCTCCATAGAGTTTGGCCATTATGGGGCTGCAGACGGAAGTGAGCTGCTTCTGTCTGTCTTCGAATTCTTCTTTCTCAGCCAGAGTGTTACTGTCGAGCCACTTCAACGCGTCCGCGCATTCTTGCTCCACCCTAGACTTGTCCTCGGGGCTCAGTTTATCACCGCACTCACTTACAGCCTGCTTCAGTTGGAATATGTAAGCTTCCAATTGGTTTCGCGCAGACACCTTGAGTTTTTGTTTCTCGTCTTCTTCTTTGTACATCTCTGCTTCCGACAACATTCGGTCGATATCTTGTTGGGATAGTCTGCCCTTGTCGTTTTTGATGGTGATGTTACGGGAGTTGCCTGAACTGGTATCCTTCGCAGAAACATTTAGGATTCCGTTGGCGTCCAAATCGAAGGTGACTTCGACCTTAGGGACGCCTCTGGGAGCTGGTGGAATTCCGGTTAGGTCAAAGGTACCCAGAAGATTGTTGTCCTTTGTCATGGCCCTTTCCCCTTCGAAGACTTGAATAGTCACCGCGGGCTGATTATCGGAATATGTTGTGAACGTTTGAGTTTGCTTGCATGGAATTCTGGCGTTTCTTTCAATAATTCTGGTCATAACCCCACCGGCAGTTTCGATGCCCATCGATAAAGGCGTTACATCAACTAACAGCACATCCTGAATCTTCTCGTCTTTCTCGCCATTCAATACTGCTGCTTGGACGGCAGCCCCGTAAGCCACTGCTTCATCTGGATTAATGGAAAGATTTAGCTGTTTCCCGTTAAAGAAATTCTGCAGAAGCTGCTGGATTTTAGGAATTCTCGTGGACCCGCCGACTAATACTATGTCATGAATAGAACCCTTGTCCATTTTGGCATCATTGAGAGCTTTCTCAACGGGCTGTAAGGTTCCTCTGAACAAATCCGCGTTAAGTTCTTCAAAACGGGCCCTTGTAACTTTGGTATAAAAGTCCACACCTTCGTACAAAGCATCGATTTCAATAGAGGCTTCTGTACTGGACGATAGCGTCCTCTTGGCTCGTTCCGCGGCAGTCCTTAACCTTCTCAACGCTCGAGGATTGGTTTTCAAATCTTTTCTGTATTTGCGTTTGAACTCGTCTGCTAAATGGTTGACTAATCGATTGTCAAAGTCCTCTCCTCCTAAATGTGTATCACCGGCCGTTGCTCTTACTTCGAACAACGAACCTTCATCGATGGTTAATATGGAAACGTCGAAAGTGCCTCCTCCCAAATCGAATATCAAAACATTCCGCTCTCCCTTCAAATTTTTATCGAGGCCGTACGCTAACGCCGCTGCCGTGGGTTCGTTTATGATTCTCATAACGTTTAGTCCCGCGATAACGCCCGCATCTTTTGTAGCTTGCCTTTGGGAGTCGTTGAAATAAGCCGGAACAGTGACGACGGCATCTCTAATAGGCATTCCCAAATATGCTTCGGCCGTTTCCTTCATTTTCGTCAACACCATCGAACTAACTTCTTCCGGGGCGAATCTCTTGATCTCTCCCTTATATTCCACCTGGATTTTCGGTTTACCGCAGTCGTTGACGACTTTAAACGGCCAATGTTTGAGATCTTGTTGAATTTTGGGATCGTCGTACTTCCTTCCGATCAGTCGTTTAGCGTCGAATACGGTGTTAGCCGGGTTCATCGCCACCTGGTTCTTCGCCGCATCCCCGATGAGACGTTCCGTATCGGTAAACGCCACATAACTAGGAGTCGTCCTGTTGCCCTGGTCGTTGGCGATGATTTCCACCTTCCCGTGCTGCCAAACACCGACACACGAGTAGGTCGTTCCCAAATCAATACCGATTGCTGGAGCTTTCACCATTTTTGTTTTTCCTTTATTCTCCTTTTACAAATAAACTATACGAAACTTGGAAAATTGTCGCTCGCTTGCTTCGCTTCTTACTAGCACTTTTATATATCACTTTTCAATTTCAACTGTTGCCGATACAGCGCATGGGCGACGCTTTTATAGGCTGCAGAATGAGGTTCCCGAACAGTATCGAAAATTCTCGAACTTTCCACGTTCGTTCTATCTCTTTTTAACTTACTGGCTTAAACAGAGAGAAAAA